GTTATTTGTTTCAGAAAAGGGAAGATAAATAATAGATTAAATGGATCTGTGTACTCATAAATTTTGGCAGGGATTTAATTACTTTTTTTTTTTCTTTTCTGGGATTAGGAAGTCTTCCATGCAAGATGATTGGTTTCAATTTAAAGAGTGTTTGTCTAAATAAATGATGGTCACTGCTACTTCTTGACTCTTCTTGATTACCTGTGTGAAAGGAATTCCTGGCTCAGGTCCAGTTCCAAAGGGAGAGACATTAACAAGGGTTGATGGAGACAGTATGGAAAAGTGTATCTGAAAACAGCATTCCTGGCCACCAGTCTTGTTTTCTTCCTGACAATGCTCACAGCACTGTCAACGTCACTATGGTAGAGTGCTGAAACACAGTGGTTTTGCTCTAAAGAGGTATAAAATTACCTTAAAACAGATTGTTTAGAATAATGGCTCATGTGTCTTGTCTGGCCTGCTGTTGTACAATACACTTCACATTTTAAACTGACTTCTTCAACTATTGACTATTCAGTATCCTCACTGTTTGCTCTCTTAAAATCATGTGGTCTTATCTTATCTGTGCCATATTTTATGTTAACTTCACTGGAATATGGTATTGTCTTTCCAGCTGGAGCATAAACCCTGTCACGTCATGAGCAAGGAGAGTCTAACACCAGAACTGTACGAGAGCCAAAGCTTGCATGTAGATATTTAGGAGGAGAATTTAAACATTTGCTGTGTATTGTTATACTTAAGGCTAACACTACTGTGCCTTTGGAAGAGGCAGTGACAAATCTGAGGTTACATAATTAAGTCCTTTGTTTCTATGGCATATCACTTCTCACTGTGCACTAAATTGATAGCTGTGCAAAAATTGAACTAGAAAGCTTAAATATTTATAAAATACCATTGTGGAAGTGTGGCTAGAGGTTCCACATATAGGACTTAAAATCAATTTTGAATTGGAAGCAAGGATGTAACTACTTTATTATGTGTGAATAACTGTATTCACACAAGAATAACAGCACTTATTCTTCCAGTATATCATTAATTTTGCCACAGTTTACAAATGAACTAGTTAATTAATGCAAAAGCTAACATTTTTCCTAAGAAACTTCAGGCTTTCTGCTAGTATGTTATTTATTTTCTGTGCAAGTTCATTATTTAAATAACATTGTCTTATTAAATTCCTACATTCTCACATTCATTCCAGTAAAATCTATAATATTTATTTAACTATCTCTAAAAACAGTATTAATCTTTTCAGTCCTTTTTTAAGATTCACTTTTTTGCCACTAGAACTTTTTTAAAAAAAGAATAAAATATTGGTTTGGAATGGTTTCACTCTCTCACCAAGGGCAGTAGAATGAGACTGTGGTGGCCCTTAGCAGATATGTCTGTTGATCTCAGACTTGAACTGGCCCATAGACTTTGTGTATCTTCTTGAGACTAGGTAAAGGCACCTGCAATTTTGAATTAAGCATTAGCCTGGTTGAGGTACTGGCATAGCCTTTTAGAAGCTATGAGCAATAGGCCACTCTCATGCTAATCAAAATAAGTGCTGTGACTTTGGATGTGAGGGAGAATCGAAGCACGACTTCCCTGTGACTGACCTGCTCAGCTCAGGAGACCACCTGGCCTCCTTGCCAGGTAACTTTTCAGAGGCATCTTTTTATTATATTCAGATATCGAATTGATATGTTCCAATATGTAATTACTCGCACAGAGGGAGGATATATTTTCATGTTGGAAGGTTAATTTGCCTCACTTCAGTTTACAGTTATTTGAGCTTGTTTTGCCTTTCTTTGCAAAGTGAAAAAGCTTTCAGGTGTTTTATCTATACATGTGCACCTACTGCAAGGATTCAAGCTGTCTCAGTCATGTCTTCAGTGAAGTGAAACACAAGGTTTCTCAGAATTTCCAGAAATTCCATGTCCTTGAAACCTGAAAACTAAATCAGTTCTTACCACTTCTGTATGAAGAAGTCAAGTCATCACCCTCTTTCTACATGCTTTATATATTTTTTTCCTAAATAGATATGCTAAGCATTATTTTGGGTTGTTATGACAGTATCAAAAATGAGCGCTCCCAATGACACACAGCATTTTATGACAACACTGGATTTTGCTCAAGACAAGCTCACATCCTTACATGACATTGCAGACCTGAATTTTCTCCTTTTAGTTAGGAGCTAACTCTTTTACAACTTGCCTAACTGTGTCTTCATGGCATTACACTGTTCTAGAAATCCTTGGCTTTAGGACACTTTTGGTTTTTTTCCCCTCATGCAGGCACAATCTGTGTTCTTGGATCTCATAAACCATATTTTCAGTGTTGTTTAAAACAGATTTTATTGGACTGAGACCACTAACAAAGTGCTTCAGACTACCCTGAAGCTGTGACTAGCTGTCTTTACTGTTTGCGATTTTACCAATCCCTATGCCACTTGAAACTGGTTGTGCAAATATGGATCTTCAATAGAGTTAAAACTGAAGTTAATTTGGTCCCATCCAGTTTGAGTAGTCCTGGATGTATTTCTAGCAGCAATGATGTTCTGTGGGAATGCTATGGCAACATCAAAATGTTGGCTGTCTAGCAGGCTTACTGCAGCCTGTGCACGATCCGTGAATAAACAGAGGAATTTAGTTCCCAGAGAGTCAGTCTGGCACATCTCACAAGCACAACATTCACCCAAAAAAACCAAAAAAGTCAGACAGTCACATAAAGAAAGTGCTGTAGTGACTGAGTGATAAATTTCCTGCTGGTAACCCTTATATATCCTAAGTCTAAGAAGCTAGGAATAAATCATGCATGGCTTAATTCAGAGGGGAAATATGCTCTCTATCAGATTGCTTATTATTTTTGTTCTCACCTGCTTTGTTCATACTATTTTTTTTTTCTTTTCATCTCCTTGCTAGTCTCTGGACATATTAGCATGCTTTATTTCAGTAGATGTGATCTCTCTCTGAACCAAAGGCTGGAGATATGGTCAGCAAAGTACCAGGTTTGAGCTCAAATGCCCCAAAGAGATATTATTCCAGGGTTTAGTACATAGGAACATGCTCATATTGTTTCTAGTCTGCTGCAAATGAGAGCACAACACTGTGTTTGCACTTAGCTCTATCATGGAGTGATTTCCAGTGCCCCAAAGTGAATATAAGCTTTATGTCCACCTATTGGTCTTTTTTGCTGTGTGTATCTTAACAAAGGAAATGCTAGAACATTTATACTGCTTTATACTTTACTGATTATGCTGCTTTTTAAGATGACACCCAAAATGAGTGAGATGGGAGTAGAGTACAGCTTACCCCATTAACAGCAAGAGTTCAGGCTCCCTAGTCACACAATCCATGCTTGGAAAGCTTCTCTCACCAAGGACAGATCACAGAATCATAGCATGATTTCGCTTGGAAGTGACCTTAAAGATCATCTAGTTCCAATCCTGCTGACATGGGCAGGACAACTCCCACTAGACCAGGTTGCTCAAAGCCCCATCTAACCTGCCCTTCAACACTTTCAGAGAGGGGGTATCCACAATCTTTTTGGGCAGCCTGTTCCAGTGTCTCACCACGCTCACAGTAAATAATTTCTTCCTGGTATCTAATCTGAATCTATCATCTTTCAGTTTAAAACTGTCACTCTTCACCCTGTCACTACACTCCCTGACAGAGTCCCTCCCCATCTTCCCTGTAGGCCCCCATTAAGTAAAGGAAGGCTGCTATAAGGTCTCCCTGGAGAGACTTCTAGGTGTTTTGGGGAGACTTCTAATCATGAATGAAAATTTCAGGGGATATTTCTCTGTAAATTATTGTCATGGTTTATTACCTTCCCCATTCAAACTTTCTGTTTATCTTCAATCCGGTGTTTTCTTTTGGTTATTTTAGCTTGTAGGAACTCAGACTATCTTTCTATTGCTACACATCTTGTTTTGTTCTTTACTCCATGGATGTGAACATCATTCTTGAAGTTTCACATTGGCACACACAGGTAGAGTTTCTTGAACTGTACACATCAGAGCATGTTCAAAACTGATGATATCTGAACTAATGACTATACCACTCGGAAGAAAAATTTTAGGATTTACCAAAAAATAGTTTCATAAAAAGTATCAGCTCCACACTTGGAGACAGCCAAATCAAATGAAAAATAAAACAGCTGTTAGGATTTTTTAAAAAGGAAATATGCATCAAAAGAGAAAATATCCTGTTGCTGTGTAAGTCAGAAGAGTAGGCAGGGGCTACTCTTCAACATGGCAGAGACAGTATAAGGGGCACATGTCAGAAATCTCCAAAACCCTTAGCAACATGGAAAAAGTGGGCTGGCATTAATTGTTTGCTGTTTCATCCAAATTACAAACTCTAGTTGTGAAACTCATATGAACAAGGTTCAAAACCAACAAAAGGGGAGGATTCTTCATGCAACGGGCAGTAGATGAGTGAAACTCCTTGCCAAAGAAAATGCAAGAATTTGTGGATGCAGGCTTACACATGTTCAGGAGAAAAGGGGGCAAGTACTCTTAGCCCACTGCTGAGACAACAGGCTGACTGCATGCTCTACCAAAAACAGTGTCACTAGTATTATGCTTGAGCCCTTCCTCATTCTTATGGCTCACCTTTAAAGGAGAGCTGAACTCAAACTGAAAACAACAGAATTCAATATCCTGTCTTCCTCTCCTGTTACTTATTTGCATTTTTTTGGTTCTGACCTTCAGTTAATACCTCTTGGTAAAAGTTGACATAAAACAAACTTCATGATAGAAACAACATAATGACCATGAATGCCAAATGTCTGCATTAGAACAAGCCGACATCATTATGCAGTGTTTTAAAGACAAATGAAGTGTAAGGAATAGAAGTTGCAAATTTTAAAATTGTTTAAAAAAGAGTAAATTGTATGTACACAAGTGGCTTACATTCAACATGCCACAGACACAACATGCTCACCAGGAAAAGTGGGGTTTTTTTTGAACAAAAAATGAAAACTCAACCCTGAACAAGGTTAAAGATTGTATTTTAATCACAGACTGAAACATGATTTACAAAACTGATGGTTAGATTTAAAACCAACCACTACATCCTTCTGTGGGAATATTCCCCCCACACCCTAGCAACCTAGGGGTTCAGGTGAAGAACAGAGCTGTTCATGTTTGCCTTTGGGACTGAACAGTGATTTCCAGGATGATGATTGATGCTGCAAGAATTCACCTAAAATGCTTGTCAATGCTTTTCATTTACCCAGCTGGAAGTGGCTTCTTCTAGGGAAGTCTGCTGGATTCATCAGCAATCCCAACCATCTTGCAGCTTTCTGTCCACAGCTTTCTCTGCAGCTCCTCATCGTAAGCTAAATCAGCCGATTTTGTCCTTTCCTCATTGTAAAGGTAGCAGCCACCAGCTCCTTCCATCTCAGGCGAAACTGCTGCATAGATGGTTGTAGATGCACCTTCCTCTGGAGTCTGCAGAAACAAAAAACACCCCACAAATTCAGGCAAGGCAGGGACAAAAGAATAATTACATTGTACCATAGGACTGTACAAATGACAATCAGCTTCCCTAGTTTTGCATCACACTTGTGGTCCTTATGCAAATCTCAAGCTGGTAATGATAAAAATGCCACTTACTCAATTGGCAGAGTACAGTCCATTTCTACAATAGTGCTAGTCTCAGATAACTTAAATCAAGAGAACAGATATATGGAAAACTGTGGTCCACTTTTTCAAGATCTAGTCAGATCAAGCATACAAAATAATAGATTTAGTTTTCACAGTCAGAACTAATAAACCCAAAAGAAACCACAAATATTAAAATCCAAGCTAATTTTCCATTTTACAAAGATAAAAGAGTCTGTATTCTGCCTTAAGAAGATGGACGCTGCTCTGTACGTGCAGTGTGTTCATCGTAACAACAGTGTGACACGAGCAAAGGACCATGGAAACCCTGACAGCAAATTAAGATTCTGCAGCTCAATCCAAGCAGGCAGGTAAACCAGGGAATTACATTTTGCACAGAGCATAGTTATCAGGGTTCTGCAGTGTCATAAAGAAAATGCTGAAAGACTTATAATGCCTAATATATCATGAGGATTAAATGAAAATTAAGAAGTGAGTAACTTAGAGTGATAACTCCATTCATCCCGAGGATACCGAAATATTTCCATTTTACATTCCAAAGGATCACAGTTATTGAAATTATTTCCTAGCATGTTGTGGGTTTTTTTTTTTTTTCATTGGAGGGCATACTTAAAACAACATTTGATATATTTCATCTTTATCAGTGATAAAATGATGATCAATGCTTGCTAGTTAATGATGTATCATTTTACGACCCTTGCAGTTCTACTCTGAGTCATTAACAATACCAATGCTGCTCACGGCTCTGTCTGCTGCATCTGACAGGTTGTCTTTTCCTGAGGAACACACCTGATGAATGAGACAGTATTGAATATGTTTTTCGATGCCTTATTAGAAAAATATATAATCTGTTGTCTGAAGCTTTTTGTGACAAAGTTCTGATGTTTTAAAAAGGAACAACTCCTCTGTTTTCTCACTGTGCAATAAAAACAGCACAACTTGCTAAAAATAATTAAATTATCTGATGTATCTGGCATTTAGTTTCATTGACAGGTCAGTTAGAGGCATCTCACACAATCTCACAATAAGACAAGATTACCCAAATGGCAACATCTCCAGCCGTTGCCTGGGCAGAGCACTCTCAGTACCTGCAAGGGAAACATTTCACTACATGACCACCACTCCCAAAAAAGTGAACTGATGAAAAGTGCCCTACTGAGGTATGTCCAGGCACAGACCTTCATTTGTAGCAATATAAATGCTCCAGTCCATGCCAAGCCCCTGATCAAAGGTCTTTAAGCTGAAAGAAAAACTACTGATGCCAACAGGCTGCAAAGAGTGGCAATACCACCATTCCTTTCCTTCAGAGGCCAGAAAACAGCCAGCTTTTACTGACAAGTTACCACACAAAGGCAGCACATCCTGTTCCAAATACCACCAAATGAAATAAGATGGTAACTCAGCCATCCAATGGGCTGTCCTCTCAGCAAAATAAGTAAGTTAAAAGAAGTCGGGTCTAGGTAACTGCTAGAATATTTTGGGTGTTTTCTTTATTAAGTTGACTGTACTGTGAGATACTATCTAGAAACACAAAGCACTTACTTACCTTAGTTTAATACTCTACTACTACTTCTCGACCTTTTTTAATCTTATGGAAAAAAATGTTATGTTGCTATTCCCATACAGTAGATTACACAAACAACATAAAGCTACATGCATGCGAGATTCCTTGCAGGGTGAGAATGACTCCAAGAACCTGGAGCTCATGTGTTCACATATTGGCTACTGCCATGATCAGCTATGATGCAATACAAAATATCTTAATACTGTAAAGTAGTAGAACAGTGATGAATATGAACATTTATACTTTATACAACTTATTCTGGATGAAAGGATGTTTTTTAATGTACTGCTCTGCTTTACTTAAAAATTTAGTGACACAGGCAAGTCATTTACTTCATGCAGCGGTTCACTGTAGATTATGTTCCTGAGTTCAACGGCACTCCAGCACAAACAAATATAAAAGTCAACGTTGATGACTCCCAGATCTTAATGACAACAGCCCAAAACTAAAATGCTTTAAAAAAATTATCTGTGGGCAGAATTTGTGTGATTGTATTCTTACAAGCAGAGCTCTCTACAGCCTGAGAGAGTGATCAGTACAGATCTTCCTGTAGCATGAGAAATACCACATGCTTTTGATGATTCAATGGGAAGGGTCTCCCAGAATATGCAGGAGTTATCAAGATCCTTTTTTTGTTGATGGTATGTCATGCAGGTTCCCACCAGAGAGAATCTATACTGAGAGATTGCTCAAACACTGGAACGTATTTCCTATAGAGGTGGTCAATGTCCCAAGCCTGTCAGTGTTGAGGACACATTTGGACAATGCCCTTAATAACATGTTTTAACTTTTGGTCAATTGGTCAGGCAGTTGGACCAGAATATCATTGTAGGTCCCTTTCAAGTGAACTATTCTATTCTATTCTATTCTATTCTATTCTATTCAAAATAATATAAAATATTTTAAATAAATGCCGTGTATGAACTGAAAGTCAGTTGCTGATTTTATTCATGCAGTCCTAGTGGACTTTCATTAATTTTATACAGTAAATTTTTCCCTGTTCTTCAGAGGAAATATTGAGCAGGCTCAGACAATAATAAATGTGCTTAAATGGCCACACTGTGACCAGTCTACAAGCACAGTGACATTATCACCATCCATTAGGGTCAGCTTCTATAACTTTTCACAAGATTTAATTTGGTTTTCATTCTGTCCACCATGTCTAATATGCTGATTAGAAGGTTCTATGCAAAATTCTTATTTAGTTTATATCACCTCTTGCTAAAAGCAGTTATTGGAACATATGAGGAAAAAAAATACTGTAACATATTAGGTAATTAGTGTATAATAATTTAAGTTAAAGGAAAACAATTTTTCCAGTGCAACAGGGAGCAGAATTGCATATGTAAGATTAATTAATTGTCTTATCCCATCTTCTGAGTGCTTAATTAATGCTGAAAGCTTTAATGTTCCCTTACTTGAGGATCTCTTCATTGTTTTGGCATGGTTTTTTGCTCTAATGAAAGTAAAAAGGAAACCCTATGCTAGGAGTGCACCAGCCTTCCAGCTGGGAGGGTGACCTACCTGTTTTGAGAGGCTGGCAGAAAAGCGTGTGCTGTGATTCCACTTCTGGATCATGCCCATTTCTACCATTACAACACTGCACATTCAGCTGCCCACACACAGTCAAGACACTTTCCCAAACTGCTGGATGTCCTGCACACCCATAGACCAACCACAACACACACAAGCACACAGATGCATGCACACATGTTCTGCCCGTGCACCAGCACCTGAGGACCTCTTACGAAGGAGGAAGCAGGCAGCAGGTTGCAATCACAGGAGCAATTAATGAGCATCTGGGCAGGGAAGAGGGTGAACTGTTCAGCAGTGGCAGCCTCACTCCCGGTTGCCAACTTCCCTGGGTGCCCCGTATCTCTTACCACAACAGCCCATCTAAAGATGACGGGACATCATAAAGCCCTTGGGAAAGAAAACAACCACAAGCAGAAGACTACTGTCAAAGCAACACATCTGACCCATCCTTTGATGCCAATGGCCTTCTAGGAAGGAGAGCACCTGATAACAGGCTAGTGAAATCACCAGCCAAAGGTTGAAAACCTTGATCTATAACCCCAGGACGTTTGTCATGATGCTCTACATAAATGCTTGCAAAATGTGTCAGCTAGACACGGCCGACAGTCGCCATGAATGTCACATCTTTTTCATTTGTCTACAACAGGCTCAACAGCTTAACTCTTTGGAAAACGTTTGTCTGCATCAGTTATACATGATGGCTTTGTGGTGCTTTCCTTGCTAATCCATGCACTCACTCAGTTCCACCTGCACCTGAATCCATAGCTCAGAGTCCTGGGGAGACAGTATGTTATGTCCATCAGGAACCACAGAAAATTGGACAGGAAATAAAACTAATAGGCTCCTTTAATTCCTCTTTTGCAATCCACTCATTTTCCCAGTACCATTTTCAGTAACTGCCAGCACTTACTCTGGAACACTCTCTCCTCATTCCAGTGAGTTGGTTGATTGTACTTGGTTTGTATTTTATCACTTCAGGAGAAGGATATGGTAGAGACAGTAGGAGGAAAGGTCTGGCAAAGAGGACAGAGAGCAGAAAGTAGGTGGCCAATGCAAAGACTGACATTGCAGTTGCATTTTGAGGAACACAAATGAGTGGCCAAACAGGTAGATGTGCACCTAGGACTAGGTATGCTGGCAAATGGCTTAATGATGAAGAAGAGCATGTTAAAACACATTTATCTATACAACTAATGATACAGAATACATTAAGTATTGGTAGAATGTCCCTCATCAGCAACATTAAGTAGACTGCTGTAGGAACACTTATCAACACTGGTTTTATAATGGTGATCTTACCTCAAGTATTCACATCCATTATGTCATGCACTTTTCAGTTCATATGGGAAATCTACTCATGGGCTGATGAGTTAAAGCAGCTCTCAGAGGTTTTTATTTTTGGCACAGGGTTCAGGGTGTTCATTCTGCGACCTCACTTTTTTAAAGGGGTGAGTTTCTATCAGGCCATTCCTGACTCAGCTAACAAGATGTGCCTCTGGCTAGTGACACATTTCCCAGGTTCCAGCTAGGAAGACACAGCAAGCACTGAACAGACCATCTTCTGGGCAGGGGTACTCAATCACACATGTCACTGTTCCTTCAGTTTTATCAACATTAATTATTCTGGTAATGTTTTGCAAACATTAATATTTTACTGACTTGCTTCTGGACTGAAAAACTATGTATGTACAGAATTTTTTTCTGCCTTTTCTGTCTTTCTTCAGGA